TTGCTCTCAGTTGAATTGAGTGAGGCCCAAATGGCAACTAATCTCTTTAACAGGAAGATCCAGAAATACACAGAGGCCTTTCTTTATATTCCTAAGCAGATCAGAAGGGTAATCTGGCCTAGCAATTCTGGAGATTGACTTCAGGGCGCTCTTAGTTTGCTCCCACTGAGTACCAGCAACTCAGGGACATTTGTAAAAACTCTAAAACAAATCATTTTGGTTTACTAGAACTGCTTTTCAAAAATGAATGACTAAGAGACGTCCCGTTGCCCGTCACTCCTTCTCTGGCAGGCAGTGGGAGAGCTGGAGGAGCCCGTTGCAAACCTCAGAAGGTAATGAGCACCACCCAGCTCCATCCTTGGAGAAGACGATTTCTGAGAGGAAGGTGGGCTCGAGAAAACAGAGTATCTCAGCCTTCATGAGGAAAAGCCCCAGGGTCACCTCCTGAGCTGGGGCTGGCCCCAATCCCTCAGTTTCTTCTCTGCCGTCCAGCTCCGAGGCTTGGCCCACTTTCACTTCTTCTAACTACGGCTACCTTTCAGTCCGCTCCCCTAAGAAAGTGGGGTCCCTGCTTCCCTGGCCCGCTTCCCCTCAGCCACCCAAGGCAGGCAAATGAGCCTTTTTCATTTTAATGAGCTGTATTTCCACTCACCATAGTATGATAGGGGTTAACAAAATTTATATATGCCCTTAGGTTTTTCTTCTTGATTTGCAAGCAATCTCTCTATATTTTGGCTATGAACCAGCTACTTGTAACAGGAGCATGATATTTTCCTTTTCCACAATTAACGTTTTTTCTCATTTGGCTTTTTTTCTTAATTTGCTCTTTTGTTTTTTCTTTTAGTTCCTAGTAATGGAAAGCTTTTTTTTTGTTTTTTTTTGAGACAAGATCTTGCTCTGTCACCCAGGCTAGAGTGCAGTGGCATGTTCATAGCCCACTGCAGCCTCGAACTCCTGGGCTCAAGAGATCCTGCTGTTTCAGCCTTCCAAAGAGCTGGGATTATGGGCATGAGACACCAAGCCCAGCTCCGGAAAGTTGTAATCAATGAAAACAAAAACAACAGCAAAGGAATTTATTAGATGGATATTATCTCATGAGATCTGCTTTAGATTAGTTTTGTTATGTTCCTCCCAAGAATTTCCACTGGAATTTGGTTACGTCATTTCTACTATAGAACAGTGTGAGACATGTAGGATCTTCACAGCCCTGAGTCTTCCCAGCTGAGATCAAGGTATAGATCAAACAATAGATCGAACTTTCCCTGAGAACAGTTTTTACACATTTAAGTTTCTTTCTCGATATTCTAGGCTTTGGGTTACCATTTTGAATATAGCAATGAACAAAATATTGGAATTTAAGAAGTTCAAGCCTCTTGAAGTGACATGTTCTCTAAGGGAGTACCCGGACAAGGGTGCTTTGTGCACACTACGGAAAATGCTGGAAATGCCCTAAACATCAAGAGTAGGAGATTGGTCAAATAAATACCGATATACCCACAGTAAAAGAATAAAAACCACTTCACATTCACTTCACGTGGGCTAGTTCTCTTGGCAAATAAGGTAACAAATTTGCTCCTACAGAGCAATTTATGTCAAGGCAAATGGATACTTTAATTTTAACAATAACAAAAGTTCACACTTTATGCTAAACTCCAGACACTATGCAAAGTTTAAAACCACTCTCTCATTCAGTCCTCCATGTAGCCCTGGGAGGTGGTCGCTGGTTATTTTGTGAGCCCTGGGTGGACTTGGGTTTGCTCTGCCATTAGCTTCTCCCCTCCCCTCAACTCCTTCCAAACAAGGGTGGG